AGTTAGACTAGCCACAGGACTAAGTTACTTGGACACTTAGGAAGACTAGCCAAAGGACTAAGTTACTTGGACACCTAGGAAGACTAGCCACAGAACTAAGTTACTTGGACACCTATGAAGACTAGCCACAGGACTAAGTTACTGGGACACCGAGGAAGACTAGCCACAGGACTAAGTTACTGGGACACCTAGGAAGACTAGCCACAGGACTAAGTTACTGGGACACCTAGGAAGACTAGCCACAGGACTGGATAACTTGGACACCTATGAACACTAGCCACAGGACTGGATAACTTGGACACCTATGAAGACTAGCCACAGGACTAAGTAACTTGGACACCTATGAAGACTAGCCACAGGACTAGATAACTTGGACACCTATGAAGACTAGCCACAGGATTAGGTAACTTGGAAACCTAGGAAGACTAGCCACAAGACTAGCCACAGGACTAAGTAACTTGGACACTTAGGAAGACTAGCCACAGAACTAAGTTACTTGGACACCTAGGAAGACTAGCCACAGGACTAGATAACTTTGACACCTATGAACACTAGCCACAGGACTAGATAACTTGGACACCTATGAAGACTAGCCACAGGACTAAGTTACTTGGACACCTGGGAAGACTAGCCACAGGATTAGGTAACTTGGACACCTAGGAAGACTAGCCACAGGACTAGGTAACTTGGACAGCTGGGAAGACTAGCCACAGGACTAGGCAACTTGGACATCTGGGAAGACTAGCCAAAGCACTAGGTAACTTTAACACCTAGGAAGACTAGCCACAGGACTAAGTAACTTGGACACCTATGAAGACTAGCCACAGAACTACGTAACTTGGACACCTAGGAAGACTAGCCACAGGATTAAGTAACTTGGACACTTAGGAAGACTAGCCACAGGATTAGGCAACTTGGACACTTAGGAAGACTAGCTACAGGACTAAGTATCTCGGACACCTAGGAAGACTAGCCACAGGATTAGGTAACTTGGACACTTAGGAAGACTAGCCACAGGATTAGGCAACTTGGACACTTAGGAAGACTAGCCACAGGACTAAGTAACTCGGACACCTAGGAAGACTAGCCACAGGATTAGGCAACTTGGACACCTAGGAAGACTAGCCACAGGATTAGGCAACTTGGACACCTAGGAAGACTAGCCACAGGATTAGGTAACTTGGACACCTAGGAAGACTAGCCATAGCACTAGGTAACTTGGACACCTAGGAAGACTAGCCATAGCACTAGGTAACTTGGACACCTATGAAGACTAGCCATAGGACTAGGTAACTTGGACACCTAGGAAGACTAGCCATAGCACTAGGTAACTTGGACACCTAGGATGACTAGCCACAGGACTAAGTAACTTGGACACCTAGGAAGACTAGCCACAGGACTAAGTAACTTGGACACCTAGGACGACTAGCCACAGGACTAGGTAACTTTAACACCTAGGACGACTAGCCACAGGACTAGGTAACTTGGACACTTAGGAAGGCTAGCCACAGAACGAGATATGCAAACACAATGCTTTATTCTATTTGGCACTGTCGTGGATGCCATCGTAAAAACTCGGCAGCTGATGTCAAGCTTTATTGTACATTAACCAAACTGTAAATAAGTAAAATGATACAAGTCATGTAAAAATATATACATTAGTATCGTATAAAAAGAGCATTCATAACAAGTGACCTCATTGTCAAAATAGCTTTGCTGTCATTTCGGAGTGTCTTCCTCAGAACAAAGTTGATAGCGTTCTGTAGGATATTAGCTCATTGCCATTTTTATTGCTACTACACTGTTTTGCTACATCACAACAATGGCAACGATTGTTGCCAAGGATTATCACCTCTATGAAGTCATCTTTGATGACAGCAGAACTGAACCAAATCATTTTTCATGTATATTTAAATGATATTTGGGCATAATATGATTGGTTAAACAATATCATGTTCAGTCCTGTATTTGATAACATTTTTAATGAACTAAAAATTATTGACAGCAGGTTTAATTTTATACTTTTTTCAATCAATTTTCATTAAAATTTTATGAGGCAGTTTTTGGTATTACGGTAATGTGAGAATGTGGATAATACAATGATTTCTGATTGCAAACATTTTGCCTTCCACTCATTCCTCCTCCTCTAGACCACAAGTCATCTAAATCAATATATTTTCTGAAACTATGACCTCATAGTCTATATACGGCAATGTTACAACAAAGAAACTACAATGTAACAAGTCATTGTCAATGACACGTCCCCCTTCCGTTCATATTTGAGTGACATATACATTCAAAGCAGATCATGACCGAAATGCACCTGCATATGTACAACACATTGTGCAAAATCTGAACAAAATCCATCCATGCATGACTGAGATCCGGTTCTGGAATTGTGAAAATATGTGATTTTGATGCATTTTCGGCCTTAAAATGGCCATCATTCCGCTGTTGTTAAGCAGATCATGAAACAAATGCACATATCTATTTGTGACATGATGTACCATGTGTGTGTGAAGTTTGAACTTGATCAATCCAGACATGTCTCGGATACGGATCCAGAACTGAATTCTTTAAAACAAAATGGCCGCCAGTCGGCTATTTCGAACTTGATCCGAAAAAAAAATGACGTGCATCAAGGTCCTATTATGTTTAATGTATGTACCAAATTTGAATGAAATCCGTCCATGCATAACTGAGATCCGGGTCCGGAATGGTGAAAATGTGCGATTTCAATGCATTTTCGGCCTTAAAGCGGCCGCCATTTGGCTATCGTTAATGAGATCATGAAACAAATGCACATACATATTTGTGACATGATGTACCTTGTGTGTGTGAAGTTTGAACTCGATCAATCCAAGCATGTCTCAGATACGGATCCAGAACTGAATTCTTTAAAACAAAATGGCCGCCAGTCGGCCATTTCGAACCCGATCCAAAAAAAAGAATGACGTGCATCAAGGTCCTATTATGTTTAATGTATGTACCAAATTTGAACAAAATCCGTCCATGCATAACTGAGATCCGGGTCCGGAATGGTGAAAATGTGCGATTTTGATGCATTTTCGGCCTTAAAATGGCCGCTATTCGGCTATCGTTAATCGGATCATGAAAAAAATGCATGTGCATATGTCCCATATAATGTGTGATGTATGAGTGAAGTTTGAACTTAATCGGTCCATGCATGTTCGAGATACAGGTGATCACGGAGCACGGACGGACGGACGGACGCACACAGGGCAAAACAAGTCCCCGTTTTCGGACTGCGTCCGAACGGGGACTAACAAGAAGGCAACTGATAAATACACGATAGAATTCCCTTTTTATAGGGTTGAGCAGGATTCACACCTATGGATTAAAATTGGAGGGAAACACAGTGATTGGTTTTCAATATTGCCACATCAGCTTAAAATCGACCTTGCAACTGATTCCTATTGCGTCCATGCTGCCTATTGATTATTATTAATTGGCTTGTATAAACCGAATCTGTGCTTCTTTACAATAGAGATACATGCATTACGGTATAGTTTCAGGCATGTAACAACTTTCAATTGTTGTAGCTCAGCTAATATAGCTTGGAATTGTATAAAGTAAAGACGAAAAGATACAGTAAAATATAGTCTAATAATGTCACTTAATTACGAATATGAAAGAATAAAATTGAATAAACAACAAGTAATATTAATGAATGAGGAAACACACATGTGGATGAGCATCCACGATAATATAAATCCATCAATTTTGTCTTCATAGCCTTTGAATAGCGTAATAATGGTCTGAAGTTATTATTTTCACTAATCCAATGTCTAGTTAAGCCATGGAATCCATTTGACTGATATCAGTACATGTGTTTAAGTACTACTATATATGATTCACAGTTATTGAATATCATAAGTAATTTATAACGACACCCCGAATCCCCCACTCCCCTCACCAGAAACCTACTTTACTGTATCTCCTTCCAATGCTATTATCCTTTTCACAAGTCTTGAACCAGGATCCCTAGGTGAACTGAAATATAAACAAGGATCCCTAGGTGAACTGAAATATAAACAAGGATCCCTAGGTGAACTGAAATATAAACAAGGATCCCTAGGTGAACTGAAATATAAACAATCACTTTATTTTTACACATTGAACACAAAATATATCCATAATAAAAACATTTTTCCCACATTTCCTAATATTATAATATTAGAACAACATCACCTGTAAAAGTAGACAATATCTAACTTTTATATTTTGGACAAACAATAGAGTTTGAGAACAATAAAATC